CACCACACCATAAACACACACTCATATTCACACTCACAGAAACACACATACACACATAGACTGCTTAGTGCCTGGGCTTCCAATCTCCCCACCCCCTGCCACTACATTCTTAGTAAAAAAGCAGAGGACGTTTTCTTATTTCAGCAAGATGTCTGGGAATAATTAGGGAAATTAGCATGGATGTTAATACCCAAGATAAAAGAGCTCTTCATACTGGCATAACAGCTGCCCATTCATCTGAAAAACAGAACCCACTGAAAAACAAGTCCCACACACATGTATGTAGAGGTTTACTGTCTTGTTTGGAAATACGAACAAATAATCAAGGACCACCGGAAATGTGAAGAAACACTGCAAAATAAAGGAGGTCACTATAATCAAATAAGTGGGGGAGAAGACCCAAAAAGTAGAGAGATAGCTTAGGAAATAGAAGATCATTTTTTAAAATCTCTAATTGTTACCCTCAGAAAGATTCAAGAAAATAATACATCCATAAAGCACAAGGACGTGATGTTAAAAGAGTAACCGAATAACGAGAAAGAGGTCTTAGACATTTTAAGAAAAAATATGACTGCTGAAAATTTTTAAATCAAGGAAGGACTGGAAGATAAAGTGAAGGTAATTCTCAGAAAGTAGAACAAAAAGACTATAAGAGAAAATATAACAGACAACATAAGAGACTTGGAGAATCAATTCAGGAAGTCCAACAGTCAACTTATAGGAAATTGAAAAAGAGAAAAGAGAGCAAAAAGAATTCTCAAAGAAACATGAGAATTCCCCAGAGCTGAAGAATAACAGTCCACAGACTGAATAACTTCATTAAGTGCCTAGAATATCAGGTGGAGAAGACTCCTCACTATAAAATTTTAGAACCCTAAAGATGAAGAAGGAATCCTAAAAGCTTCTGAGAAAGAGGAGGAAATAAACAGTTATCTACAAAGTGACAAGAATCAGGCTACAGTTGGTCCACGGGCCACAATTTGCCAACCCCTGGGCCAGAGTTCTACATCCAGAGGAAGTCTGAGGCAACCAAGGTATTTTGGGATGTGGAAGGATTTAGAAGTGTGTTTTTTTCTAGAAAATTACCCAAGGATGCATCCCAACAAAATAAGAAGGCAAGCTAAGTTGAAAACATTAAGTCCAAAACACAGTCACAAAAATAATGAAAGGAACCCCAGAATGAAAGACAGTTGTGCCTGGGGGAAATCTAATGCCAGTCTAGGTCTCCTGATTTAGAAAGGATAGCCTGATGCCTCCTGGACCCCAAGAAACTTCACTGAAATGAAAACGCTGTATATTCACCACCCTGGAGTTCAGGTGTGCCGAGTGCACAAATCAGAAAAGGCCTCTGGGGGGGACAGGCACATTTTATCTCTGGTGCTCTGAGATTTCATCACCTCACCCAGTGTCATGGTGACCCCACTCATTCGGCCCCTGGTGACGCCTGCTGCTTTCTGGCTGTGCCACCCTGGGCATCCCTCAATCCCACTGAAATAATTTCGGCCATAGCTTCTTTGGTGTTGGGGGACAATCAGTGTTTTTGGCCAAGAAAGAAAAGCCCAAACCATCTTTTTAAAAATTATGATGCTCCCATCACCAGTTGGGTTCTCTGAGTGAGAGTGACAGAAGAGAAATCTGGACCCTCTCAGGGGACAGTGACAGGGTGGGTGGGAGGCAGGGTGCAAGGGATAGATACAATCTGGAATTCGTGTCTCCTCAACGTGTTTCATTCCTACCACCATGTTAAGACAGTGAGTCTGGCTTTCCATGTCACGCAATGTGGACCAGCATTTAAATTCGCCAACGCAGGGAACATTAGACTCACAGGGCTGCCCAAATTAGTACACTGAATCACAGAACCCTGGGCCACGGCCCCATAGTAATACTCCGTCCAATTTGACACAACATTTTATTCTTGGTGAAACAACCTTAACGTCTCTTCTCACAATTCTCCCCAGATTTTTGATAATATGAATTAGCAAATTCCTTCAATTCTTTCTAGGCTAACTCTTCTGTTTCTTCCTCTAGAAATCCTAAGCTGGAGCTTGCCGTGTATTCACATTTGTCCATCAAATGACTAAGTGCCTACTGTGCGCCAGGTGTTGTTCTAGCCACTGGCGAGGGAGCAGTGTGCAAGACAGTGCCCGCCCTCCAGGAGCTCACATTCTATGAGGGGAAAATAGAAGTAATAAACAAGAAACATATAATACATTGGGCGGTGCTGGGTATGATAAATACCTCCCTCTTTAATTAACCTGATTCTGTCAAAGCAACCATCTCATTCCTCATTCCCTTTAAATTGTTGCTATCAGCAACTGGCAAGTCCCCCAAGCTTTGCCCTTGGTGAGCAGATGTCTATTTAGCGATTGTGGGTACCGTGGGAAGCTCGTGTGCCAGATCAGGTCCCATCTCTACCCAGTTACCTATCCCAGATTCCCTATTTCCCTCAGGGCCTGTTGCCTACAACCTTCTTCCTGGCATAATTTCCATATCAATTAAAGATCTTTGTTTGCAAGCTACAGAAATGTATGCTGGCTAACCAAAGACAAGAAGCAACTTGGTGAAAGAAAGCTGGGTGACTCATGAAATGGAAGACCTGACCCAGCAGGCTTTGGGAGGGACAGGATGTGAGGAGTCTCCACAGCAGGACCTTATGAATAGTCTCTTTAGGACAGTAAGGACAGAATACTCTGCTCCATCTGCCTTACGCTAGAGAATCCTTCTGCTAAAGGCATTGGGTCCCAGGACAGAGTCTGATTGGCTGGCTTGGGGCATGTGTCTGCCTTTGGGGTGGAGCCTCATTTTGATTGTCAGTTCCACCAGGACCAAATAGAATGAGAGAAGGAAAAATGGGATACCATCAAAGGAGGAGAGAAGGGATTCTGGGCAGTGAAAAGCAAAGACTTCAGAGCTTGTAGGGCTCTGTCCCCAAAACTCCTACTATATTTCCCTCTTTGGAAGTAGCTTCTACCTTTGCCAACCTTGCAACACCAAGACCCCCGTGTAAGAAAGCTGATCAAGCCAAGTGGAGGGTGAGTCATCACTTCTCTCATCCTGGTGGAGGAAGAGAATCAAGGTGTCCAGCTGATAGCCGGCATCACCATGAGACACGGGATTGAGGCTCCTGGGATTTCCAGCCCAGTGGACCCTCCAGCTGATGACGGCCCCACAAGGGAGCCCAGATGAAATCAGCAGAGGAAACACACAAACTACCTCCAGAATTGTGAGAAATAGCAAATTGCAGTTGCTTAAGCCACTGTGTTTTGGGGTGGCTTGTCAGCCGCGATAGATAACAGGAACTCAGGCTCTTTTGCATCTGGAATCCCTGGCTAAGAATCCTACCAAGTCCACGGCCACAGCCCGAGTGTGCTTTAGAACTGCAGGGGCTCTTGCAGATTACCTCCTACAACCCTCTCATGGTTCACAGAGGCCCAGAAGGCGCAGTGGGCTGGTTATTGGCAGAGCTTGAAGCCTGATCTCTCACCTCCCTGTCTGGGGTTCCTTCCTCCGGTCGGTGTCAGAGGCCCCTTAAGTTCCGAAGGAGCAGCAGAGCATTCCTGAGCCCTGGGGCCCTGATGATGTCAGGTGGTGGAGCCCAGGAGAAAGGAAGTTTGCAGAGTTTTAGGAAATCCAGGTCACACATCAAAGAAGCCCCAAGGATGGGGTTCTGGGCACCTGGGTACCTCCAGGGAGGGTGGAGCAGTAGGCTCTGGAAGAAGCACAAATGGTCAGAGGAAGCAGCTGAGGTCAGCTTTCGTGCATCCGTGGAACTAGACACCTTCCAGAACCCTGGGCCTCAGGGCATGAGTGAGGCAGCGGTATCAGGCCTGTGCCTAAACTCACCACTGGGCGGCAGCACGGAGCAGCAGCAGCAGAGTCGTCTGGCTTCTGACCCACCCTGTGAAGTGGGGCAGTCGTGTTGCCTGGGCTGTTTACTTCCTTGGCAAGACACTGAGCCTGTTTCATCATCTGTAAAACAGAATAATACCGACTTCACAGGGCTGTGGTGGAAGTTAATGTAAAGCCCCTAGAACAACCTAGAAGGTGCTGAACGAATGGTGGCGGTCACTACCACCAGCACAGACCAGAGATGCAGATCAAACGAGGCCGTGCCCTGGGCCCCATGTGCTAAAGGACCCCATGTATCTCTCTCTCTCTCTCTCTCTCTCTCTCTCTCTCTCTCTCTCTCTCTCTCTCTGTCTCTCTCTCACACACACACACACACACACTCTTCACTGAAAGGCCTATGAGTACCTCTGTCTCTTGACGGGCACTAGGCACTGGGGCAGCGCAATCCCACCGTAAATCCACTCTCATAACTAACACCCTTCAGGCCCCAGTAAACACTTCCTTGCATTTCTTGCCCCGTGTTCTGGGAACAAAAGGCAACTGCATCAAAGTCTCCCAAGCCGTGGGCGATGGACGCCGCTTCAAAGGGAGGACGTGAGCAGCAGTTCTCCTGGATAAATGAACTGACTCTCCGGTCCTTCCTGCCACAGCATGAATGCACCAGGTCTTGCACAACAAATATCACCTCCCAACGTCCATTTTCTTGCATCTGTTCATTTCCACTTCAGAGGGTCTGGCAGTGAATTAGTGCGATATTCGCCACAGAGTCACAGGGTGATAAAGAACACCCGGTGACATCAAACAATGCATATTACTCATAAATTTATCTAAATATAGGTCTACACATAACGTGTGTGTCATGATCACAATTCCTTACATTGGCAACAAAAGGACATTGAATACTATGATTGCAAGTAGTTTTACTTTTATTAAAATATTTGGCAAGATGTAACTGAATGGCAACCAAAAAAATAACTTTTGAAGAGTCGACTTTATTCAATTGCCATTAAAAAATTTTTATATTCATTAGCTACAATTTATATTTTGCCTTTTCATTTTAATACAGAATTTAGAGAATGTTACAAGAAAAATCCTTTTGAATACATATATTAAAATAATTTTAATTTTTTTTCTCTTCAGAGTCACTCTAATTTACATTTTTTTATGAAACCATTAGATTTTACACACTTCAAATACAATTACATTTTTTTAAATCGTCCAGGTCATTATTGTCAGAGGAACACAAATCACACCAAGAACGTGATTATAACATAATTGAAGACTTTGCTGAAACGAAAGCATGAAAAACAAATGTTATGGAATAAATGGATAATAATCTATGAAGCATGCATGTCTCTATTTTATGAGTTATTCAGACGTTGCCAGCCCATCAACAAAACACCCAGATACACGCAGTAATAATTCAACTCAACTCTACTTGGACACATTCCTGACTTACAGTCATAGGAAAACTGGCTTTCCATGTATTCTTTAATTTGTTGTTAGGGAAGTATATTTAGATAGAAGGGTTGAATGAGCCCTATTTCCCAGTGTGTCAGCTTGATCGATGACCTTTAAACATGGAAGCACATGGTCTGAGGACTCCTAGGCCACACAAATGCTAAAATATCAGGGGCGAGCCTGACCACCAACAACCTGAACAGGCTCCTGAGGCCTCCAGGAAAGGCCTGGGGGAGGATCCAGGCAGGAAGGGGCTTCGTACAGGAGCCCCCAAACCTGTGCTAGCCAGTAACGCTGCAGCTAACAGCAGCAGCAAGAGTTACAACTATCGGAGTAGCAGGTTCCTCTTCTAAGCGCTTCGCAGGTATCGTTTTATTACTTCTCCCAACAATGTGACGAGACAGATACTATTATTATCGGTCAGAGAGGGTGGGGCATGAGGTCATTGGCCCAGGGGTACCCAGTTAGCTGGTGGTAAAGCCAGGCAGCCTGACCCCAGAGCCCACAGCGTCGTCTCAGCCAGGACTATGGCACTCGGAAGCCAAGGGGCCCCTCCCAGTGGAGCATTTGTGGGTTGAGGGTCTGCTGTTTCCTCCCCCTGCCCATGACCGCTGCACCCATGAAGGGGGTGGTGGCCTGATGCACCCACACAACACCCCCCGCCCCGCCCCCAGGCTCTACACCCACCAAGTTCATCCCAGCACCGGGTACGCGGGGCCATGCCATCCAAGGAATCTGAGGTACTCACTCGCTGGCTTTCTCTTCTTTGCTGGCGTCCCTCCCATGCATTCTCTCCTCAGCAGCCATAAGCATCTTGCCCAAACACGGATATGGGCAGGCCACCTCCTTGTTTCAAACCCTTCAGTGGCATTCCATTGTTCCCTGGACAAAGACCAACAAGGCGCGGCTGTACCATTTTGTAAGGACATTGGCGAGCTTATGAAAGATGACAACAGGCCCACACCAAGGATTCTTGTTCTTTGCTCTCTATCATAAACAGGAGAACCCAGCTGTGTGACAACAGCTGGACAAAGCCTGTTCCCACTGGAGGGACAAGTCTCCCCATCATCCAGGTGCCCAAGGAGGCTCCCCACTGGGATGAAATGTTACCGGATAGTTCAGAGAGCTGCCTCCTTCCCGTGGGGGATCCCAGGCCCTCTCCAGCATCCTGTAAGCTCTAGGCCACCTGTCTATCAGGCTCAAGCAAAAGGCTCACTGTGGGCTGAATGGGAAGTCAAGGGCCCCCGGTCTGCTTCCTGGTGAATCAGACCCTTCAAGACCCATCCATCACCAGCCCAGCTACCCCAGCCTCCTTTCAGCCCCTGCTGGGTGCGATGTTCCTTGGACCACGGGGCCTTTGCACAGGCTGTCCCTCCATTTAGACTCTCTCCACTTCTCTCTTTACCCAGTTAACTTCTTGAGATCCCTGCTAAATCATTTCTTCCACAGAGAAGCCCTCAATGACTGTTTGCCCAGATCCCCCCCATTAAATGCTCTCATAGCCCCATGGACAAATCTGTCAAGCTACTTACTTCTATTTGTAAGTTTCCATTCCGTAGGTAATTACTAATGTCTCTCTCCCTACTGGCCTGTCAGCCCCATGAGGGCAGGCATCATACCTGGCGTTGCTCTCCCGTGCATCCTCTGCACATAGTAAGTCCTCAGTATAGTTACTGATGAACAGGCCAAGAATCCTTCAGGGATAAGGTTAGCCTACTTTGCCGGAAGAGTGTGTAGGATTCTTCAGGCTCTGGGGGAAGCAACAGAAGTGGTGAGATCAAGCAGTGTAGGAGCTTTCAGCCCAGTGCCTGACACACAGTAGGAGCTTAGTAAATGATCATCGTTATTGTTAGGATGATGATGATGACAATGACAATGACGTCTTCTAAACTACAAGGGGCAAGTTTACACCAAGAGAAGGAAGACAGGGCTCTCTACTCACCTCCATCCCCCCCATTGTGGAAGTGAAGACCTATCAAGTGGGGACAATAATCCCACTGAAATGTTGGGGGCCCTGGCCCAGCTGCATGCTATACCCCAGTGGGGTAAGTACTTTGAGCTCCTGGGACAGCGGCTGCCTCCTCTGTGGCCAGGTAAGGAAGGAGGGAGGGAGGTACCCAATATTTACGGGTTCCTCCTATGGGCATGGATTGCAAAGGGCTTTACACATTTCATTCCTTTTCCATCCAGTCCCAAACTCCAAAAGGTAGGTCTAATTATCCCCATATGATAGATGACAAGTCTGGGCTGGGAGGTGATAGGGTTGGCCAAGGTCACACAGCTCCTAAGTGGCAGAGCTAACACCCCAGTCCTGACCTTGCTAATGCAGAGACAGTTCAACCACATTGTGCCAGTGGTGAGAAAACCATAAGGCCAGCCACATTTCCTGAATGCCTTAAACTCTCCTCCCAGTCCAAGTCCTCGCAGCACCCCTACTGCAAACATCAGCGGGAGACACCTCCGCCTGGAAGCCCACCGGGATTGCCACCCCTACTGCAAACATCAGCGGGAGACACCTCCGCCTGGAAGCCCGCCGGGATTGCCTTGCCTGCCTCTGGCCATACAGGTCCTCGGTTTTCTGCCACAGGTACATACTGGCAGGGGCTGGCAGGGGCCCCATCCTGGCCAGGCCAGGATTCAAAATGGCTCACAAAGGGATCATCCCAGAAACCTGCCCTTCCCGGGGAACACCCTGATGCTGCTTCAGGAAGGGCTGTGGGCCAAGACTCCCCAGGAATCAAAGCTAATTTCCAGTTGTTTAGGAGGCAGCTCCTCAGTGACTCACCGTTTGGGCTCTTGTGACCCAGGCCAGGAGCCAGGGGCTGCCAGGAGATGCCCTCGTTAAAACCAAAAGGCGAGGTTGAGCGCAAGGGAGCCCCCTCTCGGGAGACTGTGACTCACAGTTGCTGGGTGCTCCTGGCCAGGTAGACTCACCTCTCGGGTTCCCCTCCCCCACCAAGTCTTCTCTAAGTGGGGTGAGCAGAGCCCAATGTGAAGCGTTCTTAGCAGGAAATGGGAGGGCCGGAGGCAGGGCCACTGCCGAATACATGTCAGTGTCCACCCTGTACTCTTGTGTCAAAAGCCTTTACTCTCACGTCACTGCCAGGCAACCCTGCCACCAGCTTCCCTATCCTTCTCCAAGGTGACATCTCCCCGGGGACTCTGTCCCGGACAGGGAGGGGTGAGGGAATGTGGGTGGGGACTCCTTCCTATCTGCTGTGTGAGATCCAGGCTCTCCTCAGGAAAGGAGGCCAACGCCAGGCCCCACGGGAGCCAGCTCCTGAGAGGAGGACGCCATGGGCCTGGTGGTTAAGCTCAGGGCTACAGCGTGACTTTTTGTGGTGGTCCCTGGGCGCTTCTGCTTTCATGGACCCTTTGCTCCATAAAAAAAAAAAGTCAAAAGCAAATGTTAGGACCTCACTGGTATAAAGACAAATATAATCCCAACTGGATTATAGTCTTTCTTCTCTTCCGATTTTAAAGAAATTAATATGTATGCGAAAGGTATCACAGGTGCTAGGCACCATGCCTACTGTTGGCAATTAGTTAAGCCTGGCCTTTGAACTGCCTGGCCTAGATTCCGGCTCACCAGGTACTTAGCTGTGTGCCGCAGTTTGCCTCTCTGTAAAGTGGGGGTGATCATAGCACTCACGTCTTGGGGCTGTTTGAGGGCTCCTGGCAATACTGCTGGAGAAGAGCTTGGTACAGTCCTGGCACAGTACTCAGTGCGGGCTGCCTGCGGGGTTGCATTTGAGCTTCCCATCCTTCCATGGAGGCAAGGGTGGGATGCTTTCGATGCCCATAATACAGACAGGAAAACCGAGGCTCTGAGCAAGGAAAAGGACCTGCCCAAGGCCACATAAAAAGCGGTGGAACCAGGGCTCCAAGGCTACGGATCAAGCAGCTCTCAGGCCCTGGACATTGATAGAAGTGGTTGGTCAAGTTATCCCAGTCACAGACCAGAAACAGGAAGGGTAAGGGCAGGAGGAAGTCACAGGCCAAAATGGGGTTGTCTTGCCTCCAGTGCTGCCTGAGTGGACTCAAGGGAGAAAGCAGCAGTCAGTAAATGAGTCACCGTGAGTCCGTGGTCAGTGGGACTTCAAGATTTCTGGCCACGACGGAGCCGGGCCCTCTCCTCCATCCCTGTGACTGTGGGGACAGCAGCTCTCCCTGGGGGACAAGCTGTGCCAGGGGCTACAGTCTCCCACACCCAGCCCCGAGGATGACAAGAGGATGGAAGTTTCCAGTCGATGCTGGAATGTGGGTTGTCACGCTGACTCAGAGCTTATTTCTCCGGCAGCCACACTACCCCACTGTTCAAGGATTTGGGGAGACAGAATTCACATCTGGGAGCATTTCTGCCGCTTGTCAAACAAGCAAGAGCCTGCCCAGCAAAGAACAATAGGGAAAAACCCTAAGTTCAGCTACCTGTGCTCCAAGGCTTCGGCATATGGCCCCCCAGGCCTCTGGTGACCTGCCGGTGGTCGGGCGGCTCTCAGGATTCTCCCTCTGAGTAACACGGAGGCTGGGGGTGAGGTGAGGGACAGGAGCAGAGGGCATGCTGGAGTAGCCAGCGGCAGGAAAACAGGACAGACTTGGCACCTGGCACTCCTGGGTCATGTGAACTTAAGTTTCTGAGCCCCTCTGGGCCTCAGTTGCTGCATCAGTAAAATGAGCGTGAGACGAAGATACCGTCGATGAAAAGCGCCCGTCACAGCTCGGGCTCAGAGCGCTGTCAGCAGGACCTAGCACAATGATCTTTGGAAAAGGGTAGGTGATGGGAAGGGCAGTGAGAATAAAGAGTGACAGAATGCACCCCCTCCCCAGACTGCCTGAAAGCAGAGCCCACAGGCGCCAGGCTGGCCCCTCCCCTGGGGTCTTGGCCAAAGTGTCAGACCTGGAAGTATGGTTGCATCACAGGGCATTTAGGGGTTAATGATGGGGAGTGGACAGGACCTGGGTATTTAACTAATTGAGGAGGTGCCCTGAGATCAGAGGTGCCCCTGCTGGCTTCCTTCTGCAGCCCAGCTCCGCTGCCCCCAGGATGAAGCCTCCCCCTCTTCTGACCTTCCTTTGCCTCCTGGGTAAGTGACCTTTGTGAGCTTCTCCCCTCCCCCACCCTAGCTGGGAACCCTCAGCTCCCTGGAGGCCCCTGAGTCTGACCCTGGGAGGGGGGGGTCATCCTGAGGCCAGTTCTGCTTGAGGCAACACTGGCCATTGGAGAGGGGAAACAGAGGGGAAGGGTGCAGCCTGGGTGTCCCGGGGGTGGGGGCATAAGAAAGGGGCTGGCAGGGACCCCAGACAGCAGGCACGGGGCTCCTGCCACTCACGCTCCATCCCCCGCCCCAGCTTCCATTTTTGGAAGGATCTAGAGGAATTCGGGGAAGTCCCAGCGCTTTGGAAGCCTAGCCAGTGGCATCTGATGAGACTTGGCGGGGACAAGGTGCTTCTAGGGGGACGGGGCTGACACCTGGGGAAGTGTCAGGACCCACTGGGAGACGCTTGAGGAATGGTGGGGCGTATTCTAGAAGATGGTACAGGAGAGTGGGTGGGGGACTGGGTGTGCTGACATGATGGGGCTGAGGATGAGCGGATCCAGCCGCCATGGATGTCATGGAGACATTATTACTGATGAGCGTTATTGGGACTGGGAGTGAGGTGCTTGGGGGACACTGACTGGATAATCGGAGAGGTGTCTGGACTCAGATGGCTAAGGACCTCAGGGGACGCTCAGGGCTCTGATGGCCGCCCTCCCCGCAGTGGCTCTGGCTGGCGGGAACCTGGTCCAGTTTGGGGTGATGATTGAGAAGATGACAGGGAAGTCAGCACTGCAGTACAATGACTATGGCTGCTACTGTGGCATCGGCGGCTCCCACTGGCCGGTGGACCCGACTGACTGGTGAACAGGCAGCCCAGTGGGGGGACCTCCCTGGGGGATGGAGGCGCTGGGCGGGGGGGGGCATCTGGGAGGAACGAGGAGCTGGGGGCATCTAGAAAGTGGGGGCTGACCTCTCTTTGAGCCTCTTTGAGCCCTGGGCCCCTGGGCCGTCCCTGGTGACCCTTCTAGGTGCTGCCATGCCCATGACTGCTGCTATGGGCGTCTGGAGAAGATGGGCTGTGACCCCAAACTAGAAAGGTATCTTTTCTCTGCCAGCAAGAACAACATCTTCTGTGGTAAGTGAACAACCCTAGAGTGCCCCAGACACTGGGGCAGGGGGATAGCATCCGACAGGAACCCACTACTGACGATGACCCCTGAGCCTCATCAGGGCCAGATCTGGGCTGGAGGGGTGGGGGGGTCTTCCATCATCATGAAATCAGGGAGAGGCCTGTCCATCACCCAGGTGCTCACCTGGCACCCAGTCTAGAGAGCCCCGTGACCCATCGGCCGCAGCCCTGACCCCAGGCACTTTCCCCCACCCAAAGGCCTCCCCCCACCCAGAGGCCTCCCAGCTCCAACCTCTGGGAAGAGGAGCAAAGGGGCAGAGCTGAGCCAGGTCCCCAAGGAGCTGTACTCACACTTGCCTGGGTGGCAGCTACAGGTGAAGTCTCCAGGAGACAGCCTCGAGGGTATGACCCCTGATAGAAACAGCTGAAGTTTGATTTGCGACAGCAGACCTCAATCCCAAAGGCTGACTCCCTGCTGTGGGGCTGTCAGGCTGCGCCTATTTGCTCAGCTTTGCCAGGTCCAATGCCCACTTGGATTAATTAACTTTCCTCTGGTCCCCGGCCGGCCCAGGGAAGCAGCCTGAACGAAGTGAGAGTGTGGAGGGCTTCACACAGTCAGTTCTGTGGGGAGCCCAGATCAGAGAGCCAAGCCTTCTTCCTGCTGCAAAGCCAGGAGCAGCCTGGAGGGAGGGCAGGCCCAGTGTGGGGCACAGCAGGAGGACCTGGAGGGTCAAAGAAGACTCAGCTCAGGTCTCTAAGGTCTGTCCTGGGGGAGGGCAGAGCCAGAACCAGACCGCTGGAGGCAGATTTGGCTCAGAGTTTCTTGCTCCTGCAGCCATCCACTCAGCAAGGCAGATGTGTCAGGTAGTGAGCTCCCCGTCACTGGGGGTTCATGCCAGGTGGGGATAGCCACTTGTCTGGGACAGCACTGAGAGGGTGAGTGAGGGGAAGTGTCAGGTGGGTATGGACACAGGCTCGAGGCTGCACCTCCTACCCATGGTGTGACTCTGGACAAGTGATATAACCCCTCGAAAGCCTCTGCTTCCTCATCTGTAAAATGGAGACAATCACGTTCTCTCCCCAAGCTTAGTCCAGCTCCTGGCAAGAACCACCCAAAAGAACTAAGCCCCTTCCAACGCTGAGTTTTGTTGAAACAGCAGCGTGGGTAGAACCCCAATGGGAAATGCAGGCTGGCCTTGCAGGGGGGACATGCAGAGCCCTGGACACGTCTGAGCTGTGAGACGTACTCATGGGGACAAAAAGGAGCGGGGGCCGTTCGAGCAGACAGAGGCAGTGAGGGAATAGGAGGCTTTGGAGCCCTGGTGCCTGGTACCAGGCTGGGTGTGGGCACCCACGTGGCGGTCGGGGTTAAGGTGAACGCCAGAAAAGTTGGCTCCGTCCACTCATGGAGACAGGCACAGAGGGTCCGAGCAAGCCCACAGCTTCAGTCCCAATGGCCTCCCGTCTGGGCGCAGGCTGCTCTGGGCACGCACAGGCCCCCTGGGATCGGGTGCCTCTCATTTCGTAGTTTTCCTCTCTGCTTGATGGCTACAATCTATCATCAGCAATGCTTCACAAGCGGGCAGGAGTTGCCTGGAAATCCCCTGGGGCTGGGGCAAATGAGAGTCAGTGAACCAGATGGCCTCCCTGGGAGGGGTGGGGGTGGGGGTGGAGAGGGCTAAGGGCAGACTGGGGAGAGAGGAAGATGGCCGGACAAACGCAGCCTTCCGCTGGGCCCCCGCAGGCCTTCCTGGGCCCTGCCCCTTCTCTCACCCATCCGTCAGACATCCCCTGTGAGAATGCGTTTCCAGCAGAACAGGGGTGAGAATGTGGACCCCAGGGCAGCCCCGCGCATGTCTGACAGCAAGAGGCCAGAGCCCCTGGTCCCTGACTCACCTTGTCCCATCAGCCGGCAAAACTGCCTGCCAGCGACAGACCTGCGAGTGTGACAAGACCGCTGCACTCTGCTTTCGCCAAAACCTGGCCACCTACAACCGCAAATATGCCCATTACCCCAACAAGCTGTGCACGGGACCCACCCCACCCGGCTAAGGCCGTGCTCCGCCTCCTCCCTGAGGCTTTCCGAGGCCACCAGCTCCACAGCAGTAACCCCAGGCCTGGGGAACCTTGGCACCAAAGGCCCTCCCTCTGGAAAGTTCCTTTCCTGCAAACCCATCCCTCCCTGAGAACACCCAGACCACGGCCTGGACCATGGCTGGCCTCCTAGGTCCTATCTTCCTCTTAGGAAGAACCATGTCCCCAGACCCTTCCCAAAAGACACTGTAACCCATCCCTGGAATCTCAGTTCCCTCTTCTGAATAAGTGAATAATGTTTGCCATAATTCTAATATTCTCTGATTCTCAAATTCTGTCATTGTAGGATTTGATTCATCTACAGTTTCATTCATTCATTCATTTATTCATTCATTCATTTGTGAGCACCTGCCATGTGCCAGCAACGAGCTCAGCACTGGGGTACACAGGAACAAATCTGACACGGGCGGCCCCTACGTGCAGTTCCAACGTCCCATCCTTTTAATTTCCCATTATAGTGCATTTCTGTGATTCTTTTCCTAACATTCTACAATCTTATCCAAGACAATACTGGCAATCACTGGGAGTATTTCTGGCCATAAGGCGGAATGTGAGAAGCATGAAAAATACCAGCCTAAAAATATTGTCCCCACTATGTCATCAGGCTTCAAATCCCTCCCATTAGCAGATAGGCTAAGAGTGAAAAGGCAGCTCTGGAATCATCTTATCCAAACCTCTCCTTTGACAGACAGGCCTTCCAGGGGTCAGAGAGCGGGAGGGAGTTCTACCTGAGGGGGTGTCCTCACTCCCAGGTCAGGATGCCTTCAATTCTTCAGGACTCGGTACCGACCACTGACACTCTCTCCTTCTGGTTGTCACCATAAACAGCCCAGAGTGCCCAGGGCAGGTCAGCTGTGAGGCGGCACAGACCGGGTCAGGCTCCTGATACAGGGAGGGGTGAAGGAAAGATTTCAACAGCGTGGGGCTGACTCCGGCACCATGAGGAATTGAAGGCACCAAAGAATTCCTAACAGCTAGAATGCAGCCTATCCTGGAAGTAATGTGCTTAAACAGTGTCTACTCCTAGATATAGATATAATATCTCCGGTACCTATAATATGGTGATAAAATCTTCCAATGTTAATGGCATTGCACAGAGCAAAGCTCATAGTGGACACAGAATAAAGCGAAGAAACCAAAGGGATGGTTTTCATAGACTTTAAAAGGAGAAGTTCTGTGCTGGTGAAAAGGGGGACAGGACAGGCGTGCGAGGTTTGAGGCTGCGACTGACTCAAATCCTTGGTCAAGAACCACCACCTCAGGACGGCTGGGAAATGCGGTCCTGAGGTGCCCTCTGGTGTTCATTTTATTCCGGCTACTAGGAGGGAGCCTAGATTTGCCTTAAACCTGGTTTCCCTTCAGTGGGGAGCGGGGTGGGGGTAATGTGTGCTTCTGGGGTAGTGAAATTGGTCCCCTCGTAGTTTCAATAATAAATATGCTAAGAAATAACCAAATAAGTCCTTACAACAATCTTAGAATGATGGTGCTGCTGCATAAATGAGAAACACAGGCAGAAGGGAGCGACATGGGAGAGACGGAGAGAAGTTATGTCCTGGGCGTGATGGATTTCACGTAGCAATGGGACAAGGACCTGGTGACCTAGCAGTTGTGTAACCATCCAACAACGTGAAAATGGAACTTGAGAACAAGATTCCAGTACACCTGCTGTGACCTTCAGGACACAGATCACGGCATATCCTTTGTTTTCCCAGAGATCAATAAATGCTTGGTGAATGAATCAATGGGTTTGTCTAAAGTCTCTCTCTGTCTCTCTCTGTCTCTCTCTGTCTCTCTCTGTCTCTCTCTCTCTCTCTCTCTCTCTCTCTCTCTGTGTGTGTGTGTGTGTGTGTGTGTGTGTGTGTGTGTGTGTGATACACACACAATTTCTCACTGCTGACTAGTGGGAAGGACTGAGAAAAGGAAATAGAACCCTGAATTAGGAGTCAGAGGTCCAGGACGGACCTGCTGTCGCTTAGCAGCAGTGCACCTGCTCCACAGCCTTGTTGCTCAGTGTAGCCCACGGCCAGTGGCAGCAGTGTCAGGACCTTGTTGGGAATGCAGGATCTTGAACCTGGCCCCAGACCCACTGAGTCAGAATCTATAGGTTAACAAGACCCCCAGGTGATTTGTGTGCACACTAGAACTTAAAAAAAATGCTGACACATGGCCACTCCCTCAGTTTCTGCATTTGTAAAATGGATGACACTTCCCTGGCAGGTGGATTGTGGCAAGGCTTAAATAAGTCGGCATGTGTGAAAGTACACAAAACAGTGCCTAGCACGTAATAAGCACCCGTGTTCTATGAATGAATGAATGTCATAACAACAATGTTAGCTAACATTTATTAAGCATTTGGCATTTGCCAGGCACTGTTCTAAGTACTTTATATTTATTAATTCATTGAGAGAGAGAGAGAGAGAGAGAGAGAGAGAGAGAGAGAGAGAGAGAGGGAGGGAGAGAGAAGGAAGGGAGGAAGTGTTCTTTGCAGTGTCACTGCTGGAGAACTGAATATTGTATTAAAGATCATTCTTTTGGGTCGGCCGAGTGGCTCAGTTGGTTAAGAGCGCAAGCGCTGAGCAACAGGGCCGCTGGTTCGATTCTCACATGGTCCAGTGAGCTGTGCCCGAGCTGAGCTGCCGCTGAGCTGCCAACAGGTGGCAGGATGGCTCAGCTGGTGAGAGCATGTGCTCCTAACAAGGTTTTCGGTTCGACTCCCGCATGGGATGGTGGGCTATGCCCACCCGCAACTAAGATTGAACACGGCACCTTGAGCTGGGCAGCCGCAAGCTGCCAACGGGCGGCCGGATGGCGACTGGACTTGGAGCTGAGCTAGCTGCACCCTCCACAACTAAGATTGAAGGACAACAACTTGGCTGTTCCCCTTCCCCAATTCCCCAATAAAATATATTTTTTAAGAATTATTCTTGATCATTCTTTCCTTCAGTGAGCTTTTCCACAAACTATGTTCCTGGCCCCTTGCTGAACACTGAGAGCAGGACCAATCCGATGTGGCCGACTAGCAGATGAACACCACACACTGGTAAGTGCTGTGACAGAGCCAAGATCGGAGTTTCAGGACCAAAGGCTCTTCCGCCCTCCATCCTCCATCCAGTCTCCATCCCGCCCACCGATGCCACCTTCATCTTCCCACAACTCGACTTCCATCTCATCACTGCTCCGCCTCCTGAACCATCAGTGGCTCCCCACTGGCCACCGACCCCTGGCATTGAAGTTCGGTGTCATCTGCTCTTCCAACTTCGTTTATCCAGCCAGATGTCTCTCTCTCTGCTCCTCACCATTCCTAGAACATGCCCGCTGCGTTCCTGCCTTCACACCTCTGTGCAAGAGCTTCCTTCAACCTAGGAGCTTCCCTGTCCACAGGCTTCTCCTCACCATGTTCAAATCCACTTTAAGGCACTTTAAGATGCACTTTAAGGCACATCTCAAACGCCTCCTTTGCCATAATACTTTCCCGACTGCCAAGCAATGTGTTTACAACTTTCCTGGTGCTGCTTACCCAGTTATCTGGGTTCCTGTTTTGGGTTCCTATATGGTGGAGGCAGATTGCCCTGGGTTCAAATCCATGACCTTGGACCAGTTCTTTGTTCCCGCGTGTGTAAAATGGGACTAGAACCATCAGCCTTACAAAATGGTTTTAAGGTTTAAATGAGACAACGTATTCGAAGTGCCTGGAGCATTATAGAAACTAGGTCACCTTACGTATTTTTTGCCTCCCCTATTGTACCCATCACACAGTAGATGCTAAGTAAACATCTGTTCAATTGAATCCATGGACACGATAATTGGATTTCTTTAGGGAATCAGCATCGTACATATATGATAAATATATTAATATAGTGGAATAGCCCCTCGGCTCATTACTTGGGAGTGCTCATCTATCTTAAGTGGAAACGTTCTGAAAATCATTCACCTTCAGTGCCCTGAGCTGACGTCCCACGGAGACAGACAGAGGCAAAGCTGGCTGGACAGACAGCGCCCAGCACTTTCCCTGGAGGGCTGCTGTGATGCATTCCAGGTCATGGGCATGAAAATGTGGTCAGGATAGACTCAGTATGCCTGAATGTTTGGAATTCATGCAGCAAGGAAAGCATTAGGCTTCCAGTAGCAACAGGCAGATGAGAAGCATCTGAAGACGTTTCTAGCCTCTCTCCAAACAAACTGCAAATCCTTCATCAATTCTGTCCCGCTCCAAGGTTTTGTCTATGCTGGTCCTTCTGTGCGAAATGCCTTTGCTCCCTATTTCCACATCCTATCTCCCCTTTCACACCTAGTCCCCATGTCCCCTTCTCCGCCAAGCCTTCTCTGAGTTCCTCTGACGTCACAGCCGTCCTATCAGTCAGTACCTTCTTTCATGGCATGTGCTGTCTTGGGTCACATTACGAGTCCACTTTCACTCATGGAACGGACACTTTTTTGAGGACAGGGTCCACCTCTGATTCAATACCCAGAAATAAGGACCCCCACACAGTATAAGGTCAGTAAATGTGGACGGATTCTCAGATGTTTGCGTGAATACATTGAATAAAACTGGAGTGTCTTGAGATATCTACCATAGGGAGGTTCAAACAAGTTTCTGCAGGGTTGGAAACATTTTCCTCCTGTCAAGTCAGAACCTAGAAAGTGGCAGGATTGGTCTTGATCCTTGACAACCAAAATGGTCTAAGTTTGCATCACTATGGTCCAGCAGTGCAGGCCGCTCTGTCCAGCAGTGCAGCCAAAAGCATATCGGAGCGCAACAGTCGATGACAAATTTTGATTGTCTATCAAGGCGCACCTACACCTCTGTGCATTAGGGATAAGGCTTATGGTATGTCTGATGAGCGAGGTAACTTTAAACCTGGGTTTCCAACCCTGCTCTCTCCTAGGCAACCATGAGCAATTACTAAGAGACATTTGCCCCCATATGGTATTTCAGTCTTTGGCTTCATAAACTGTCACTCACCCAGAGTCAGCAGTGCTGTGCCTAGAGAAAAATATAAATAATGAACCTTGCGTTCTTTAATGATTCCCTACCTGGCCTGAGAACACTCCTGTCTTACAGACATCCAGTCTCACAGACAGGACCTCACAGGTTGCCTAGACCCAGGTAGGAAGCCCCCCCCCCCAGCATCACTCGACCTGGCAGGGTGGACCCCTGGCCCCAGCTGAATTATTGCAAGGATAGAATTAAGGAGGCCAAGAAAGTTTCCCAGTTGGGGACAGGGGGGAACACCAACATCGGGACATCACTTTGGTCCTAGGCAGGATCCTTCAGAAAAAAATCTCAGTTGAGTTTACAGGGTCCAGAACCTGGGCCTCACGGGCTCAGGAACTGGGTAGCATTTGTGCACCCGGGGCTCTGTCAGTCACAGAATGAGGCGAAAATCACGCGAGGATGGTGACCGGGGAAGAACCTCCTTGCCAATAGCCAGAGAATCCTTTCTTTTGTGCTGCATGGTACTGCCGTTTCCCCGAAAATAAGATCTAGCCGGAAAATAAGCCCGCGCATGATTTTAGGTGCCAGAATATCACACCTTGGCATACTGAATATTTTAATCTGAAGGAGTCTAAGGAAAAGGCACCCTTTCTCCTTGAAACAAGTCATAAAACCGTCATGTGAGGGGTGCGTGCCCTCCATATCCTGGAGGAATCATGCTACGGCTTATTCTCTGGCTAGGTCTTATTTTCGGGGAAACACAGTCGATACCTTCTGTTATCAGAGTACTGCAGAGCCAACTCAAAAGCTGCTTGGTGACTATGAAATTAGAACAAGAGAGAGTGGGAGTCTCGAGGCCAAATCGCAAAGCCAAGGCAAGGGTTCATGAGACGGCAGCAGGCGTGCCCTTGAGACTGACCAGAGCCCTGGTGTAGGCTGGGCCCCCGCTGGTCTCGCTGAAGGATCCTCCGCCCTCTGGTTCTGTGGCCACCCTTCCCTCTTCCCCTCTGAGGCCTCTTCTAGGTGAGTCCATGCTGCAGTCACTGCTATCCACATGTGTCTGGCAGTATCTCCTCCTAGAATGGGCTCAAGCCAACACTCAGAGTTCCACAGAAACCCCAAGGTGGAGCCACAGACAGCTGCTCTGCATTAGACACTCCAAATTATGAGATGTTCTTAGCTATCAAGCAGAAACCCTAAGTGTTCCATCCTTAAGGATGGCTCCTCCAGTGTGTGAGTGGCCATACTCACCTGTACTAAAGCCACAAGCCACTGTTTAAGCTCAGTGAGGTCCCACATGACTATACATGGGAACAACACTCAATCAGACACACACACACCTTCCATGCAAAGGCCTCTCTGAAAAGGACATTTTGCAGGCTGCTCTCTCAGACTCATGGACTCAAATGGTGGCCAGACAGTGACAAAAACAACTTGCAACTTTGTCTTTAAACTAGAATTTATTGGTATACAAAAGTCCGTTTCATAGAGAAAGTGGCACGTCTTTGCAGCTTCTATTGCACCAAGTATTGAAAATTAAAAACACAAAAAAAGAAACATTTGGTTTTGAAAACACTGCAAATAGCCAAGTACAGTACTTTGGTAAATAAAAAATAAAATGGTTCCGATGAACACAATCTGTGGGAAGAAACAACCTAGAGGAAATGGACTACAGACGTCAGACAATGGTCATGTTTCTCCCCGTCGAGCTCCATAGATAAGGCAGGGCTTGCTGAGTCTATGGATCAGGACCCCATGGAGGTCTTAAATATCTCCAGACTGAAGCTAGAACTAGTATAGTGCAAGTAGAAAAAAGAGACGGTTCCTGAGCCTGGGAAGACCCCGTGTTCTCCAGACACACTTGCCCTCCTTCATAAAAGGGACGGACGCCCACCAGCACTTGTACATCAGCGAGAGGAACATGTAGGGTTCAAGTCCGACTCCTGGCTCTTTTCTTCCTACTGAGCTCAGTGCTGGTGGAAGATGCTGGAAGGGTAGCCGGGAGGCCGAGGGCCTTCCCACCAGGAAAAATGAACAGGAGAGTGGGAAGGTGTGAGGAGCCCCACACCAGCATTCATTCCTCAAGTCATGGTCGAGGGACCTGCCTGGGGATTGAGCTGCAGGCGGAGGGTCTGTGACTGCGCTCAAATGATTGTCATGGACGGCTGGCGATAGTGACATGCGAAAGATTAGGGGCAGACAGAGGTTCTGTCTGGTGACCATTACCCTCCATGATCACCAGGAAAGCGAGTGCAAGTTCTGTGTCCCGGGTATGCCCTGCTTAAAATAAAGTCACCATGCGGAAGTTCGTGCTTGTACAGAAATATTCTTTACTGGTACCATCTCACCCCCCATCAAGTAGCTTTGACAGAATGCTAAATATTTAATAGAGCTACAAAGTAGTCCTAACTAGGAGACAGAGAGACTCTAGAAAGTAATCCCTTAAAGGAAATAGTTAAGAGCCTGCGGTTTCCCAGGGAATTTACCTGGGGACAGGGCAGGGCCAGGCAGTCCACAGACGCAGCTCTTCCCTGGGGCCAGGCTCTGGGGCGCACGTTGTGGGTTCCACAGTGCAAGCACTTTGTGACTGGTACCCCCCCATCTCCGCTTCAAACCAATGATCCGTTTCCCCCGCTAAAACGAGATGGCAGACCATGTCCTATCATTGAACTATGCCATCTAGACCTTCAATTCAACATCAGTGGGAAAATACAATTTGCTTTAGAGTCGGGAAAAATACCTTGTAAAAAGTGCCATGATTAAATCACCTCAGAACTGTCAGAAGGCCCCAGAGTTTTAGCAACACCTGTTCTGAAAGCTGAGATGAGACTGTGAATAATGAGAACAGCAAAACAGGAAAACAGCATCAGGCTGAGGCTCAAGGTTCGCTCGAGTCTTGAGGTAAAGAGCTGTGCATCTCCCCACAATGGAGTCCGAGAGGGCCACAGGCTGGCACACTGAAACCAAGGGGCTCGGTGCTCAGCCCGCCCACAAAGACCCTTTCGGTCTGGGGGGCTTTTAGTCAACTCTCACTAGGGAGCCAAGCTTCCTTTAACCGGCCGACTATTCGAGTTGAACATTTCAGAGGTAAACTGATAGCATGCTATGTTGACCCAGTAAAACCCAGGCAGAGTCTAAGGAGTTTCTCAGAATGAGAGAAATTACACATTGACAACAGGGACCCACTACGAGTACAGTTCAATGCCAAAGTCCATCTGATATCTACCTACTTAATATGTGAGCAGCTCTACCCCCCTGAACGGGGCCCCCCTCCCATCCCAGCCATATCATTTCACATTGTAAAAGCACCCCAGGGAAGCAGCTTTTAAATCACCCACACAAAGGCGCCCTCGAAGCCCAGCACTAACTGCCCTACCAGAGAGAGCCCACTTCACAAGCCCTAGGAATGAAAACGGGTTGGGAAGTGTTTTCAGAGTTTATAAAAGAAACTACAGATGACCACAACTAACATTTCAGATTCTTCTTTCTGCCACAATTCCTTAGCCAGTGCTCCTGAAAGCACATGTTCATATTATTGACAAATTAAATACATGTACACACTCTACCGCTCTAGTAACTCTTAGTGGCCAGCTGTATTGCTTGGAAGTTGTGGTTCTATATTGTTTTAATACATCTACCTCTCTAGTACAAAGCGGTTGCCACTAACATTTCACTTATTTTGACCTTTAAAAAAATCTGTTAAAAAAATCCATTAAAACCTTTATATACAGTTTATAAGACTAAAAGCAGCTATGGTCCACTGACCCATCCCCTTCTCCCGGCCCTGTTAAAAGCTACTGAGACAATCCCAGGTAACGTAAATCTCCAACCGCCAAGATGCAGCTCAGAGGTTACGAAAGGTTCCCTTCCTAATAGGAAGCGCACAGGAGGAACTGCGCTAGGTAACAATTCCTGACTCAGCCATCCAGGATGGAACACACCGGGCCTCCACCGTGGCTGCCAACGAGGTCATTTTTAAGTGCTTACTAAGGCAGCTAAGCGTATGGGTTCCCTCCTCCTCACACTTCAGTGACACCGAGGCAGTGAAGTCAAAATTCAAACCCTTTGCTAGAAGATATCACTAAAGTTGCATACATGTACCCCCAACCCTACTAATTAACCTAAAAGACACAGACCAGTTATAACTGGAAAGCTATGAAGTAGTAATAAAAGAAAATTCCTGAAGCCACTTGATTATAGTTTTTAAAACCACTGTTATTTTACCCCAGAAATGCTGAAGCCTGTTATCAGAATTAGGTAATTTATAAGTTCATGTTCCCAATATTCTCTATTAACTTTTTAGCAGCTTCTAAAACTTCTAAAGCCCAGTAGGGGCCAAGGCCACCTTCATTAACCAAATAAATAAGGCAATTCGACTACTACTGACAATGGGTCTCCCTTACGTGACTTCTGACTCCTGATTCTGCTGGATTTCTGGTACATGATCGTGACCCTATGAGAGAATCTGGCCTCCTGCACTCTCATAGTACAAAACAGACAGGAAAGAACGTTCATTCAGAGAAGCTCGGCCACCATTAGAAATCTGCCCAGAGTTCAAAGCCAAGAAACAGGAGATCCGAACGCACTGACCCTCCCTCCCTCGGAGACAGCCAGGCAACAGAAACCCTTCATTTGTCTGAGTTCTAGAGCTTCAAACTCAGGACTCCACAAGGTGCGAGGAAAAAAAGCTGGGTTCTTTCTCAACCTGCCGAATAGCACAATGTGCTTACCAGGACGAAGCCCAAACCACCTTGTCCTGGGAGCAAGCCCTAGAGACAACCGATGTGCCCACCACAAAAAGTCACCAAAGGAAAAAAAGCAAAAAATTAACATACATCATTAAAACCGAAGAAAGCAAGTCATCCGCTGATAAAGATAAGTCAACGAATCCAGGGCCAGCCCAGACAGTGTGTCTACACACGTCGACATCGACACTTTTTTATAGCTTTCCCTTAGCCTTGGAACTTTTATAACTTTCAAATCTGAGGTGGGGGAGGTAATTAACAATTGACCTTTGATTTAGCATATCTTATCTGTCTAAATATTAGGTCCCCAAAAGGCAAAGACTGCCCAAGATGGACCACTGCAAACATGACTGCTTTGCAGTTCACACCACCCTACCTCAGTTATAGGAGTGACACATCTCCACTGCCCAAATCTGTCTATTTCAGAACTGCAGTCATTCGAAGTCCTCAGCCAAAGTACATTCTCTGCCCTGCTGGTCTGACCTAAGCCACGGACAATTTATGGTGGGCGCTAGAGAGTTTTTCCAACATCAGAATCCCAAACAGGTTTTAAATAAGAAGAAATAAATGCAGCATTTCTAAGGAATTTCATTTTCACGATACGAAGAGAATTTAGCCACAGGTCGAGTTACCTTTTATTTCTCTGAAGGCATCTAAGTCTAGAAAAGCAGGGAAGAAAATACAGTTACTTAAAATGGGAACGTGGACCACCTTAGGCAGGCTGCCCGGCCCTCTCCCTACACAATCACATCGCTGGTTAGCCTCTTCCTGGGCCAACACTCAAGAGCCCCTTGAGCTCTCTCCTTTTACTACTGTGGATTCTGCTCTCCTTCCTATCAGAGACCCGGGACTGCACCAGAAGCGGTCACATCCATCTTCCTTCCCATCGTCAAGGAACAAGAACCAGAGACTCCACAACACTCAGATTCTCCAGCAAAGCCCGGACCTAATTAACAGTCAGGCGCATGGATCACATGGCTTGAGCGTAAGCGAACTAACAGCACTGCATCGCATCTGCACCGCCATCAGACGCAGGGAGGAGAGAAGGGCAGTTGTTCACTTCCACCCTGACTACAGGCCTCAACCGCCGTATCTTATTACTTCGGGAGAGCACTTCCCAAATTCTTCTCCGATGAACCTGGATTAAACGCAAACTAAATCTAAACATGTTCCTGAGTCAGAGGTCGTTTATAAAGTACCCTGTGCGTGAATGTATCTGTTTGAAAAGGAAAGAGAAACGAAGGGAGCTTGTCATTCTGCGTTTCTGGCAATTACTCTAAACTACTTCATGAACAAGTACAGCAAGCCTCACCCCAAGCGTTAGGGAAAGATCCCAGGGTCAGCGAACTGTGATTTTTCAGGGCAAATAAAACCACACTCTAAAGGTTTTTCCTGGTGCATCTATCCACTCCTAAAACTCAGTATTTTAATTATGGAACATGAATGGCTTCACTGCACTTTCACAAAATAAAACACCAACAAAACTCGGAGCGCAAAGGAGGCAGCCTGAACGACACCGACTCAGTGTGTGAGCTCGCATGTGGACGCCGTGGGCCGGTTCCCTAAGGAGGCCTCCCGAGCAAGCCCGGGACGCAGCCCCCACTTCCCACTCACTTCTTCCCGCCCCCAGCCGGCCAGAGTCAGATGCTGAGCGCAGCGAAGGTCTTCACCAAGGTGACCTGCGCGTTCGCATCTGCTTCACTTCTGTTGTTGTCCCTGTGGCCACTCCTGCTCCCCAGGGCTTTATGACGGTGCCTCTCCTCCTGTCGCTTCTTCTTCTCCAGGCGCTGCTGCTCTCGCCTCTGTTTGTTTGTGACCTGAAAGGGAAGACGCCCGATGAGTCGCCAGCTTGGCTGACTCAGGCTGCCACCTGCTGAAGGGAGCTGCAGGGCTGACAGATGCTGAGGGCACAGACTGCCTTTCAACAAGAACAGAGGAAACCCGCCCAACAGACCAAAAGGGATCTATTTTCCATTACTGCTCAAATTCACATTGAAATTTACATTCCCTTGCTGAGCTAGCAAACAAAATCAATTCCCTTCTCCTCACAAACCAATCCCAAATGACCAAACGAAATGTTAACCCTAGTCCAGCAAGAGATAACCCTCACACATGCCACAGGACACCTTTCTCTACGTAATCCAATGCCCCAGGTTATCCTAACAAACTCCTCAGAAGCTCACTGCATTTCTGCCTCTGCCTGTGGCTTTTTACATTATGGTGCATTCTGAGCTTAGAACTTGGTGGAAGTCTTTGAAATGAATTCCAAATTTGGTAAAATGAACGGTGTCATATGCTACCTATGGGAGTAGGGAACAGGGATGGAGATGTACAACCTTTCTGGGAAGCACCTGACAATTTACCAAAAAGCCTTAAAAAGAGTCAACTATCCATGCCCTTTAACCTGTCAGGTCCTCTTCTGGGACTCTAGCCAAGAAAATAATGCAAAATACAAAGATTTCTACAAATACATTATGCAGGTGTTCAATGCAGATGACAGTATTTATTAAAACTGCGATTTTATCATGGAATTAACATGGAGAGCACCCATGCACACAGTAATGGTGGGAGGGCAAGGGGGTGACACGTGTATACACGGAGTACCATTTCAGAGTGCACTTCCTTCCGATCGTCACTGCACACCCCAAACAGGACCACGAGGTCTTCATTCTGCTTCCTGGTACACCTGCATGCATTCCCCAGATTTTCTACATTCACTACTTCTAAAAATCCAAAGGGAATTCCACATGGAAAACGAGCTCCCAGTCCCCACCACTGCCACCGCCTGACAGCAGCCCCCCATTTGCCCTTGCAACCCCCTCTTTCATACCTTCGGGAGCTGGTTTTTATTTGCCTTGTTTTCTTCACTAGGGCTGGCCCGCGCCTTATTGTTTTCAGTCCTGCCTTCATTTAAGCCCTGATTTCCAAAGATTCTGGTGCCACTGCCACCCTCCTCCCATAAAGGACCGCTCTGCTCCGGCATGCGGCCACTGGACTCAAGGTTCTCCTCTGCATCTTCCAAAGAAAGATAATTCATTAAACTTGAGGACCTAAGATGGTTACACAATTCGATTACTGTTAAATGACTCCAACATTACCCGGGTCCCTAGAGCACTGTCATTTGGGAAGCAAGTTTCCTGGAGGCAAATTCTAATATCAGTCAATGCAGTGGGGAATGCAGGGGAAACATATTGGTAAAATTTGGAAGATGAATTTTAAAATAACCTGTTGACCAGCCTTATCATCAGCCTCCCAGCAGAAGAGTGTTTTGCATCATTAGATAAACTACTTTTTAACATGAATTTTTAGGGGGAAATGTTTCATTTGCACCAAAACCAGAAATGCAACAGGCTCTAAAGTTGTGCTATTCAACACAGTAGGCACTAGCTACATGTGGCTACTTAAACTGAAGTTCAATAAAATTGAGAATTCAGTTTCTCAGTCTCACTTAGCCACATGACAAGTACACACCGTGCGGGACAGCACAGGTACTAGATGGACAGTGCTGTTTTAAAGTCACAAAGACCAAGTTCCTTACTGCTTTCTAAGAAGGCACAGAAAACATATAAAGTGGATAAGAAAATAGCCAATCACACAGAAAACTAATGCTAAGAACAGTATCTGGCACATCATATCTGGCAATAAGTATTGAAATCATTTTAAGTAAATGACTTGAAAAAACAGTGAAGATATCACATCTTTTTTCCTTCCTGTGTGTCATAAAATTAAACTCATTTCAAGTAAAAATAATTCTGAATTATCAACAGTTGATAGATGCTAGTAATTTAAATATTCCCATCAGAAAAAATAAGGTATTTTTCTCTCCACTCAATTTTAGTTAGCATTTTGGTTTTATAATGGAAAGTTATTTCTAAAAGGATAAATTAAGCAAAAAAAAAATGTTTAATAAAATAAAAAATAAAAGGATAAAGTCTTTCATGACATTCTCCATCCCTCCCAAACTGGGTTAGGTGGCGTTTTCATGCACGCCCCTATCGCCTTAGTCCCCAACTCCATTAGGTATTATTATGCCACTTTACCTATCTGTCTCTACCACCCTCTCCCCCACCCCCAGACTATATGCTCTCCGATGCAGGGCTAGGGCCTAGTAAAAAGTGCCTGCATACAGAAAGTGCTCGATAAACAACAGCTGAATGAATGAATAAATGACAGTATAACTACCACCTGTGACTTAATTAAAAATAAATATTTGGAAAATTATCAGTACAGTCATTTTGAAAGCTTATAAATATCAATCATGGACTTACTATTTCTTTTTCCCTGGTTCATCTGAAGCATGGCAATTATTGCAGATTCAATATTATAATTTTCAGCTTCCAGGTTCTGGACTATCAAATTAAAATCCTATCCAAGAAACAAAGGAACACTTCAAGACTCTGGGTATACTTTCCTCTCTCTATTTCAACAATCTGATACACAAACTGATGTAATAGTGAGAATTGGGACAAGGTTTCAAGACCTTTTCCACTTAGAAAATGTCAATTTTCAATAAGGCTGGTCACCGGAATAACCAGTTGATATAAAAAATAAATCCACATACTTCCTTAGGATTTTTGAGCAGTATTGGGTAAAGTCTAGCAAACAAGAGAGAAATGAACAAACAGCTCTCATTAAGTCATATCACACAACCTCATCAAACTACAGACACCATGGACCTAGGCTGGCCCATCAGGTGTTGGCATGCCCGAGTGGAGCTACAAAACCAGCAGGTAAACTAGGCACAGCAACGCTCACTTAGACTATCACTACACGCGACAGAAATACTAACTGAACAGCCGGTGGCGTTGCAAACTTTCTGGACGGCATCTTCCACTTCGTCTCTCAGGTCATCTTCTAGGTCCACGCCCTTAGTCTTGCTCTTTTCTCTTTTATTGGATTCATCTTGATGAAGCATCTGAAACTAAAGGAAATATAAGGAATGATCATCACGGACCTCTAGCCAACTACATTCAGATCAACATAGGAAGACACTCTAATCTTAAAAAACATTCAAATATACAAGGGAAAGATTCCACAAACAATCTTAAGAGGAGAGCAATGACTAGGCTACATTTCATCCAGATATTGAGATTCCAGCTCACAAAAGAAGTACATACTAAAAAGAAAGGCCCAACATACGGGATGAACATTCAGTGAACACGGCCTTAGAGCCTCTACGGTTTCTAAGTACCAGCATTTTGGCCATGACTGCTGACTCAGACAGTGCACATTCATCTCAGCTGATTTCCAGAGGTGTGAGCTTGATAACAGACGAAACCCTCTCTACTAGGACCCGACAAGCTTTGCAGCAGGACAACTCTTCCTGAAGAGACATCCGTACAACCCTCATCTAGTTCCCTAGGCCCTATTTGGTCATCAGCAGGCTTTGATGTGCGATGTTCCGGTCCCATCTGGACAATGACAGGTGAGCATGGCTCATTTAACCTCACCTGCACACCACCTCCCTAGGAAACCCGTCAATCCAAACTGTAAAACCACAAAGAGCAGTTCACTTACTATCCACGAGGCCTTTACAACTGAAGCCTAAATCAGAAAAGCTACAAGCGTCCCTCTGTGGCTGCTTAATCACCTTCTCCTGCTTCCCATTAATGCAGGGAGATGGGGAAATGGGCAAGGGCATTTCTATTTTTTGCCTGTAAAAGTGTAAGTGGGACCCAGCAGTGTGCAGTACATTGTTTATTTACTATTAATAAAACGCAGCCCCCTATCAAAGTATCTCCTAACCATTTGGCGATGTGTATCAAGAGTCTTCGAAATTGATCCCAAGGAAATAATGTCAAGTATAGAAAAGATCTGTGTGAAAGTGCTCATCACAGTGCTGCTACCTGGGGTGAGTAACTGGCAACAGCCTGCAGGTCTCAGAGTGTGGGTATGGTTAAGCAACCACAGTAAATCCACAGTACGTGCTTCATTTCCACTAAAGTAAGGACACAATAGGATTTTCACTACTACTGTTACCATTTAACAATGTTTTGGATGTAAGTCAATGCAACTGCAGAAAAGAAGGAAAGAAGGAAGGAAGGAAGGAAGGAAGGAAGGAAGGAAGGAAGGAAGGAAGGAAGGAAGGAAGGAAAGAGTGAGTATAAAATTAAAAAGAAGAAAAGTTATCCCTATTGGCAGATGATAATTCTATTCCTAAAATAAAATCAAAGAAAAACTACTATAAACAAAAAGAATTCTCACAAATCATGTATTTGATAAGAATCCAACATCCAAAATTTATAAAGAACTCTTACACAAATAACCCAACATGGGCAAAGGACTTGACTAGACATTTCGCCAAAGATACAAAAGGCCAAGAAGCACATGAAAAGTTGCTCAGCATCTTTAGTCCTTAGGGAAATGCAAATCAAAACCAAAGATGCCAATTCACACCTAGCAGGATGGCCATAATTTTAAAAAGAAAGAAAGAAAAATAACAAGTGAGGATGCAGAGAGTGGAACCCTCAATACATTGCTGGTGGGAATGTAGATTGGTATGCCTACTGTGGAAAACTGTGGCAGTTCCTCAAAAAGTTAAATGTAGGATCACCATATGACCCAGCAATTCCACTCCTAGGTATATGCCTAAAAGATTGAATACAGGTACTCAAATCTTAACACAAATATTCACAGCAGCACTACTCACAATAGCCCAAAGGTGGAAACCCAAATGCCCATCAACAGACAAATAAATGGATAAATGAAATGTGGTGTAGCTATACAACTGAAATACTATTCAGCCTTTTTTAAAAAAAGGAACAAAGTACTGATATGTTCTACAAAGAGTATGAACCTTGAAACAGTATGCTAAGTGAAAGACATACACAAAAGGCCACATATCGTGTGATCTCATTTAAATGAAATGTCCAGAATAGGTAAATCCATAGAGACAGAAAGAAGACTGGTGGTGGCTGGGGGGAGAAAGGATATGGGGAGTGGCTGCTTAATCCGCCGGGGTTTTCTTTTGGGGTGAAGAAAAATGGATGGAGGAAGTGGTGGCACAGCTCAGTGGCTATGCTGAGGTCCACTGGCTTGTATACTTTTAAATGGTCAATTTTACGTGCATTTTACGTCAATTAAAAAAAGAGACTCCTGTAGGATAGCTGTGTATGTATTTAATTAATATTTCATTATAAATTCACATTCACAAATGATAATCAGCTAGGAAATATTAAGGAGAAAAAATCCTTTCCTTCCAATAGAAAACACAAAACACCTAAAAATAAACTCAGCAAAAAATGGGCAAAATCTACATGAAGATGTTCCTACAGGTCACCAAAGAAGTCAATTAAATAAATGCAATTTACCAGGTTCATGCTAGGAAGATTCAACATCAAAAAGATGTCAATTTTTCCTTAAGTTAATCTATGAATTTAATGAGACCCCAATAAAAACAAATATGAACAGGACTTCTTTTTAATTAGACAAGAAAATTGATTCTAACAGTCCTATGTAAAACAAAGTAAGAATGTAGGAAATTACCAAAAAAAAAGGAATGATGAGTGAAAAATTCTGTCAGATTTTAAATTTTACTAATTAAAACAATGGATACATTAATACATGAGCACAGAAACCAGTGAAACTATCTAAATGTCTAGAAATAGACCCAGGTGTATATGGGAATTTAGTATATGAAAAAAGTGGCACTTTAAATAAGTGAAGAAAAGATATATACTAAACAAATGGTTTGGGTACAAGGTAACCACAAGAAAATATGTAAAGTTGGATCCATACATCACACCTTTATATGAATATAAATTCCAAATAGAGACAAGATTTAATTTTTTTTAAAAAATGAAACCATAATAAATACTAAAATAAACTATGGGAGAATTCTTTGTTAACCTCAGAGTGGGAAAGACATTCCTAATTATGACCCAAAACCCAGAAGACATGTAAGAAACCTTGGTAAGTTTCACCACATAAAAATCTAAAATTCCTTTATAGCAAAGACCATAAGAAAAATAAAAAAATAAATGACTAAGAAAAAAGTATTTGCAAATCATAACACAAAGTCTAATTTATCTAATATATAAGGAGCTCCTAAAAATCATTAGCAAAACTTAATGGAGGGCCGGCCGAGTGGCGCGATGGTTAAGAACTGGCTTGGGACGCCAGAGGGCCCCGGTTCGGATCCCACATGAGGGCCAGTGACACTGCCCTCCACAGCTAAGATGCTGAACAACAGCTTAACCTGGAGCTGGGCTGCCATGAGTCACCAGCAACAGCGTAGGCTGCAGCCCCTGTGGCAGTGGGTTGCTATGGGCTACCGTGTATAGCCAGCAGCCGCTGTGAGCGGCCGTCCAGAAGCTAGCGACTGATCTGCCTCACCCGGGAAGAGCGCAATGATGGTGCCAACTTGGGCCAGTGAAGCAACGTCCTCCACAACGAGATTGAAGAACAAAACTTGTCTGTTCCCCTTCCCCCAATTCCCCAGCGCTATTCCCATCCCCACAATTCCCCAATAAAAATCTTTAAAAAACAAAAACAAAACAAAACAAAAAACATAATTCACAAAAAAAGAACTACAAATAGGTCTTAAACACAGGAAAAGATGCATAAACTAACTATTAAGAGAAATACAAATTTAAACTGTTAAGAAAACAATTTTTTCCCTAGCATACTGACTAAGATTTAAAACCTTGATAACGTGTGCTGGCAAAGGTGCAAGAGACACACATTGCAAGTGGGAGTGAAAACTGGTAAAACCTCAACAGAGAGCAATTTGGCAACACCTATGAAAACTATAAATTCACATCCTTTGATGAGTATGGACCTTCTAGGCATTTATCCCACAGATAACACTCATACATGTGTGAAAAGAGGTACATTGTTTGTAAAAGCACAAGTTTGAAAGCCTCCTAAGAGTCCATCAATAGGGCAGTGATCAAACACATTATAATGCATCCACACAACAGAACACTATGCCATTTAAAAAGTGGAATACGTGCCCATACATGCATATTTGCTTGCTATACAGAGGGTGCCAAAAGACTGTATACATGTTTTAAGAAAGGAAAAAACTGTATTAAAGTTATGCTGATGGTAACCACTTCGAGCACCTCTTGTAATGGCAGAAGTCAAGCGTGACTTGTATTCATCTTTTGTTATCGGTATATATTGAGTATTACAATTTTAATACAGTTTTTTCCTTTCTTAAAATATGTATACAATTTTTTGGCACACTCTGTATAAAATATCTGTCAATTTTATGATATACTGGTAACACTGGGTGCATCCAGGGAGGGGAACAAGGGTGGGAGAGTGACTTGCACTATACATCCTGATACACATTTTTAATTCTAACCCATGGATAAATATATGTTACCTACCCAAGAAATCATTTATTAGTTAGTTTTTTAAATTACAAAGAAGAGGTGTAACACGAGAAAAGGTTTATGCAATAATGTTAATTTCTAAAAGGCAGGAAACAAAGCGATATAAATACCAAAACAACAATAAAATTGTGTCCACGGGGACCGGCCGAGTGGCGCATTGATTAAGAATTGGCTTGGGACACCAGCTCTAAGAAGCAGAGCCCCAGTTCGGATCCCACATGAGAGCCAGTGATGCTGCGCCCTCTACAGCTAAGATGGTGAACAACAGCTCGACCTGGAGCTGGGCTGCCGGGAGTCGCCGGTGACGGCATAGGCTGCAGCCCCTGCTGCAGTGGGCTGCCGTGAGCTACTGTGAGTGGCTGGCACCCAGCGTGAGCAGCCGGCAGCCGGTGTGAGCTGCCATGAGACACCGTGAGCGTCTGTCCAATGGCCGGCGAGCGAATGCCTCACCCGGGAAGAGCACAATGATAATACCAACATGGGCCGGTGAAGCGACATCCTCCACAACTAGACTGAAGAACAAAAGGACAGCAACTTGTCTGTTCCCCTTCCCCGATTCCCCAATATAATCTTTAAAAAAAAAAAAATTGTGTCCACGTTTTTGTGTACTTTCTATCTTCTTTACTTTTTCTATAGTTTCCAAACCTTAGGTACGAAGCATGAACTGATTTTAAACATATTAAACATAAAAGTAATCCAAAGTTTTTATACAAATTATATCCATGTCATCATAGCTATCAGCTATTAGGGAAAGCAAAAGAATGACACGCAATTTAATCTTTCGCTCTCACCTGAGCTAAAACATAAAAAATCATCAAGCCCACAGATTCTTAAAAGCAACTTTCCGTAAAACCATCGCTGGTTTTCAGCTCTGGGCACCCAGCTCTTGACCTGGCTCCCTAGAGGTGAGAATACAGAGGAAACAGAGGCCTCACTCACATCTGTCTGGAGGTGGGCGGGGGCTTCCGAGTTGTCATTGATCCTCCGAACGCTGTCGTAGTGCTCTCCATACCGATAGGCGATGTGTAACTCCCGCCCGATGCTTTTCCCCGTGCCACGAATCTGGAAGCAAAAGGAGGGAGATGCCAGCGAGGATTTGGACAGTGTCCCCTCTGGAGAGAAACGCCACCCAGACTGCCCAAGAAGCCCAGTCCACAGGCTCGATATGGAATGCATGGGAATATGACTAGGATATGTCCTGAGCAATTTCTGACTTATCTTTCATACACAGAGTATGGAACTCTATGGAAAGAAATCCATATAAAAACACATATTCAAAAACCAGGGGAAGAGTTACAGTGAAGTTAAATAGGCTTGAGTTTCTGGGCGTCAGCACCTCCTATCCCCTCAGACACACAGGCCCCTACTGGAGAGAAGGCCTAAGGACAGATGGAGATTTGCTCGGCTGGAAGCTCAAAAAACTTGGGGGCCTGATTTAAGGAAAAAAATACAAGATTCCAAATATTATAAAAATGCTAGAACCCCTCCCAGGACCTTGAAAGAGGGCCATAAAAATGGACCACTTATGTGTCATCAGCTTCACAGTAAATCCACCCCGTCGTTACAACAAAAAAATAACATTTTCCATCAACCACATACTGAGAATATGAACAAACTCAAATCTCCCACTTACATCAATTTCAAAACAAAATTATTCATAGTCCAGCAGCACCAGCGCACTGCACGACCCAGGCCACTCACACACAAGGTATTCTCTGTGAAGGGCACCCCTGCAGGACACCCCAGTAAGAGTCATGCAATCCAGAGGCCCTAAGGTCCACCCCTTGAAAAAACACCACCTAGACAGAAACTCTAAAGTAACTCTGAATCTGTCACTTAGAAAGCCTAGTTATCGTCTTTGTTAAAATTCTAAAACATTAGCACTTCCTGTTTTTCCTCAAAGTCTCAGGTAGTGAGACACTACTATTAATTTTAACAGTATTTATGGTCTAAAAGCATAGCCCAAACCATGGACCAAACAGGAACCACACGGGGCCAGAAGTCAGAACCAGGTTGAATCTGTAGGTCTCAAAGCGCAGAGAATCTGGTTTTGACAAACACAAAATAGAGGCAGCATCATTTATCTCCTAGGAAGAGGGCTGCGAAACTAGCTTACCAGAGCCTCTGAATGACATAATCCCTACAGCACTTACATATTTAGATAATATCTAATACTATATACACATTATGAATTGGAAAAAATAACTAGAAAAATAGTCACCAAATTGTTAACTAATTTTCATGGACAGAGTACAGAACATTTTCACTTTCTATGTTACACATGTCTATAGTGTTCACAGAAGCATATATTCTATTTACAACCAGGGAAAAAAATGTAGGTCTGAGTATCTCCATGTTGTATGAGCCTCCTCATTATTAATGTAAGAGCTCTTACCCAGGACAGTAGCAACCAATGCTGTTTCAATTCTTAAATTTCATTAAGATGTGTCTTTGGGGTGGGGGGAGATGGAGATCCATTGTATAACAAATACATTTATCTTAAAAACATACACTTTCAGTGTTTACCAATTCATGAAAGACAACACTACAGAAATCTATTTGAAAGAAAATTCTAACTATGCAGAATTATCTTCCACAACTACTTAGACAATTAAGAGACTGGAATAAAAAGTTACCGATGAAGGAAAAGGCAGGCTGCGTTTACTAAGTTGGCACTGAGTGTTTTCCTGCAAGAATGGGTCATTATGCTGTCTAGTCAAGGGATTTTGATGACTTCTGCTAAACAGTAAAAATTTAATGACAAGAAACTGGGACAACGAAGAAGGTAACCAGTATTCTTGGCTCAAAGACCATCCTTAGAAGGCGAGCGCCTCACTAGAAATATGACAGCTCTCCCTGGTGTCAGTCCATCTGACAACACTGCCCAAAGAACACACACAAATACTGCTCTCCTCCTGCTCGCTGCGTCCCTTGTCAAAGTCCTCACCAACTCAGGGAGCACCTGACTTATTTGGTTGTAATTCTGTTAAAAGGACATTACGCCAGACACAAGGGTAGGTACTACCATTTAGATGACATTCTGGACAGGCAAAACTGTAAGACAAATGAGATGAGTGGGGACAGGGGCTGCACATGTGGGGAGGGGGCCCGTGGCTGCAAAGGGGAATGAGGAAACTTTCAGTGGTAATGGGAATATTGTCTATGTTGATAACAGCAGTGGTTACATGACTGTATTTGTCAAAACACAGAAATGTACACCTGAGAAGGGTTAATTTTGCTACATGTAAATTATAGCTCTATAAACTTGACTTTAGTTTTAATGAGCAAAGGCTAAGAACAAACAATTTGCAAAGGAATATACAGGCTGGTGGTATATGAGAAAAAAAACACCACAGTTGCCTTTATAGTAAAAACACATAGGAATACATAATTGTTTGTGTATACATACGCATGGATGTGTCTATATGGGTGTAGGTGCGTTTAAAATGTGCATAAAAACATTAAGATACATGTCGTTCCAGTTATGTATGAATGTTTTTATAGCTAAGAGGACGTGTGAATGACAGGGACACACACTAAAATGTTAACAGGAATAGCCTCCGGGGAGTGTGACTCTGGGTGATTTTTATTTGCCTTTATGGGCTTTGTTGAATTTTCAAATTTTTCTACAATTAATATTTTCCCTTTCTAAAAAAAAGGAAAAGTTAGAAATAGAGTAGTGGAAGGGGCAGGAGGGAGACTGATAGATATCACATGCCCAGGCTTCAGGAGAGAGCTACGACGTACAGGAAGCTCTCTGAATGCACAGAGGAAGAGCACGCGGGTGGGAGCCTTAATACACATCCGCCTGATCTGACCTTCCACATGCAGAAGGTATGGTCTGATGGATTGGGAGAGTTGGTTCATTTAGGATACCAAAGGTAAGAAGTTGGAATGGACAGCTACTTCACAATGGGGGAGCGGGGGATGGATAAAGGAAAAACGAAATGGCTCAACAACATGCTCTGCCATCCTACAGCACACACTTAACATTGCTGTAAAATCTTATGTGCTGGTACCATATGTACAGCTGAGCAGAGCAGAGCAATGAAAGTTGACATCCTAGGCCATGAAATAAATTTTGTTGTTCAGGACATCCTTTTTAGCAATGGTTTATTACAGTGAATTTGGTCTGTTTCCCTCCACCTAAAAATCATAAACATACACATGGGACTAGACATACTTCAAAACCAGGATTTGTATGCACTAATTTTTTAGATTCTCATGTAGATATTTTACAGAATTATGTATAATATTTCCACATTAGGCTTTCAAATTACTCAATTAATTAACTGCCTGCTGAACAATATTTCCGGCATTGTACAGTTTTCTGAATTATGCTCCAGACTCCACTTGAATATGGTGAATCCCAAACTCCTGGTCTTTGGTTGGGCTTGCAGCACAAGTGACCTTGTATGGTTCCACAGCGCAGGTCATGCCCCATCATCTTAGGACATCCCCAAAGCTCATTTATAAAGAAAAGCTTACGATCAACTCTTGAATAGATGACCTACCTGCCACAAAGGGGCATTAAGTTGATGAATCACAACATTCAATTGATGATTTCTTGCAAAGGCTACAATTGCATCATTGCCAGCAAATGTACCAGGCTTTGCCAAATTGGCCACTGCATGGAAACAGGAGAGAAAAATAAAGTCTTTATAATGAAAAATCCCAAGGCAAACATGCTTTGGTATTTACTTAGTTCCAAGTAACGCGAAACAAAGGTCTACATCTAAAAAGTCCATTAGCTTTGTTGGGCTAGGCAGTCAGCTGCTTGAACAGTATATAGACTGCTGCTCAGAAGGCCACCAATCATTCATAAAGGATTCATTTACTCATTCCTTCAATAAATACTTACTGACTGCTCCCTATAAGCCAACCTCTATAAAAACACTGGAAATGTAACAATCCACGCAGTGATAACAGCTTGCATTAATGAATGCTTATTACGTGTCGAGCACTGCTGCACTCACTTCTCATAGAGGATCACTTTTCATCCTCAAACCAACTCTCTGAAAGGGCTTATCACACACACCATCTTCTAGATGAGGAAACTGAAGCAGAGTAGTGCCTACTGAAAAATAACACCAACGAGGCGTTTCATCACCAAAAAAGGGTTTCTTCAGGAAAAAGAAAGGGTTGCAACCTAGTGCACGCAGCAGACATGGTAAGCCACATGCACACTCTGGCCTGCAGGCCAAGATGGAAGGGTACTTACAGAAGGGAACAGGAAGGTAATAGAAGGGGAAGTTAGAGCCAGAAAGCTTTATCATAAACCTAGAGTTCTTCCTGCAGGGTTCTCATGGGTAGGTACTACGTAGAGTGCGAGCACTTCCATAAGCCCTAGCTCCTCCCACAGACCCTCCAACTGACCATGTTTGCTTCAAGTTCCAGTTCATCTTTATCAGTCTTAACTGTGCCCAAGGTCGGCAGAGCTGAGTTGGAACCCAGGCACTAGCCACTCCATTATACAGCCTGTCAGTTTGCCCACAAGGAGCTTACAACCAGTAAACAAGAGAACAGGCGCTAGGGATGCATAAGTGCTACAGGAAAGGGATGTATGGTAAAGAATTTGGCCTTGCCCTAAAAAGGGTCTCACCTTTGTCCATGGCTCCTGGGAGATAACCTCTAAACCCTTCAAATTTCCCAAGTGACAGAAATGCCTGTTAGTCATCGTGGACTTCTCAGCCACACCTGATAGTTTATGCTAACGAGGTGCTCAGGGTGCTCTCTGGCCACGTGACCTCAGCCAGACCTGAGAACGGGAGAGCTGGGGAGCTGGAGACTGAGTTCAACCACTCAGGCAATCAATCAACAATGCCTACAAAATAAAAGCCCAATAGAAACTCTGGACACCAAAGTTCAGGCGAGCTTCATGACTGACAATACTGTGACCACATAGGTGTCAAGAAGACAGTGCATCCTGAGGACAACAGAAGCTTCGTGTTTGGAGCCTTCCCAGACTCTGTTCTTTGGCTAATATGGCTCTGTATCCTCGCTGTGTAATAAACTATAACTGAGTGTAACAGCCTTCTGGGAGTTCTGAGTCCTTGCAGCAAATTATCGAACCTGAGAGTGGCTTTGGGAAACCCCAAGCTTCCAGTTGGTGTCAGAAGTGAGGGGAGTCTTGGGGAAGACTGTGCCCTAAAACCTTGCAGTTCGGCTAAGAGTAGGTCGGAAACATAAGCCAGTTTGGGAGGGGGGAGAAGGGCGGTGGGGGAGATACGACAAGAAGGAGACAGGTAGAAGAGGAATGTTCCAAGCAGAGGGGGGAACGTGAGGAAGAGAGAGGGGAAGGGAGAGAGACAGAAGAGGACTGATGTTCAAAGCAGAGGGGAGAGGGAGAGAGAGACAGGAGAAGCAGAGGTAGGCAGATGAGTCTGTGGACTGGTATGGCAGGAACTAACAATGCTGAGATGGAAGGGTGGGAGCTGAGGCAGAGAAAAGGAGATCACAGGTCACAGAGGCCTGAAGAGTTTGGACTTTATCCTGAGGTCAACGGGGAGCTGCCAAGGGGTTGCAGACAGGGGAAAGATGTGTTAGGTGTACATTCAGATCACTACTCTGGCTGCAATGTGAAAAACAAACTGAATGGATCAAGAGGCAATGAGACCAGTCGAAAGAGTATTGAAAAAATCTAGGCAAATGGGCACACAGGCCTGATTTTACAAGAGAAAAAAACACTGAGGTGGACGTGACATGACTTAATGAATGACTATGAGGAGGGAGGGAGAGGAGGCATGAAGAACATTCAGGATTCTGATCTGGATCTTTGTACAGTTGGAGAAAAGATGTTGCTGATTCTCCAAAGCCAGAGTCTAAAGGAAAACAATAATCCTAAATAAGCCAGATGCAAGGATAACCAAGTCCTGAAGAGTTAAGTGAGCCAATCATTCATTCATTCAACAAATACCTTATGAGTGCCTACCAAGCACCAGGCGTTGCCATGTTGGGGAACAGACATAGTCCCTGCCCTCAAGGATCTCAGTGTAACAAGGCAGACATTAAAAACGCATAACTGTGATATGAGTGATAATGTAAAAAGTCTAGTCTTCCACTGACACACAAATCGAACGCGCAGGCTTCTACGTTTCTTGTCATTTCTGCTCTGGCAGTCAGGGCCGACCCACTTCTTTGAAGTTCAAAATTCTTTATGTAGTGCCAAGGATCAGGCAGTCATAGTGACAGTTCAAGAAAACACTTTCCTGTTGTGCATCTAAAGTGGCCATCACACTGCAGACAAGTTCCTTGTCCTGTCATACCCCCAAATCTACCATCTGACCTTCACTAAAGTAGAATTTCAAGTAACAAACTAAGTATGCCCCTCATGCAAAATGGCAATATAATTGGATCAATGACACAATTCATTCCATATAGCTAAACTACACACTTGCCCCATACCCGCATTTGATTTGTAAACTGCTAAGCATCTGGTAAACCGTGTCTATCCGCTAGATAAATGTGATGCAGGGAGAGGCCGTCAGGATGCAGTGACTGGTATCAGCTACTCGCTGGGAGTTCTGCTGCTGGGTCTCTGGCTGCTCGTGCCTAGTGACTGGGTTCTGTCCTAGTGAGGAAGGAGAAGGGCTCTGGGATCACTGATCTAGTCCCTCCCGTGTCTTCCTTCTGCTGCCCTCTATCCTGCTAACGGCACATCCGCCTTCCTCTCTCCTCCTCCCCACCGCCAATGAGTCCTGTCATTATACAACTAGCTGTGTGTTAGGCTGGACCCCACTCATTATCCCCAGTAGCTGCCGTGGTGGAGACCCTCTTACTCTTTCATCTGGCTGATGTGGGGACCCCTTTAACCCATCTCCCTTCTCAATGTCTCTCCCTTTCTTTCTTGATATGGTTTCCTGAGCTAAGACTCTAAAACACAGGAACTATTCTGTCTTTCTTGATAAGTCTTACATGTCTGATAAGTCTCACAGTCTTACAGGTTTCCTGTGAGGAAAACGTTATTGTAAAACGTAAATATGTCAGCACCTAGCATAGTACGTCCTCAGTAAATAATTGTCAGATTGAAGTTTAAAAGCTCATATGTATTTTCTTACTAGATTTGTGCCTATTGAGGAACTAATTAAAATCACTAAATGATTTGCCTCAAAGAAAACAGGCTGGATTTGGGGTTTTGGTGAGAAATTAAAATGATTTTACTGATTATTTTTATTATAAAAGTAATACACGATCACTTAAAAGTCAGAAAAATCTACAGAAGATCATTTAAAGTACTCATAGACCCACCATCCCCAGGTGGCTAACACTTAAGAACTTATTTTAATTGTATTATTTAATTTAATCTTCACCAAAAAGCTCTATAAAATAGAGGCTATTATTATCTCCCCCTTACAGAAGTTTAAAGAGAGTAAATGGTTTCTGAACAATAAGTGGAGCCATCTTTCCACAATTTCCCATTGTGTTCTGTGTGTGTTTACCTTTAAAAATAGGATCACTCTATATACACTATTTTCTAGCCTGATCCCCGACCCCCCACTGAACAGAAAGTGATGAACAGCTTTGCAAGTCAATTAACATCATCATTTTTATTAGCGGCATACACGTCCAAACCTAGTGCTTCCCAGCGCCTAGCATGCCGCCTATTACAGAGCAGTCAAGTAAACATTTGTTGAAGAAATGACATAATTTATGTACCCAAACCCCTGGCTGGGAGGCTGGGGAAGCTGATGGATGTAATTACCTGGAAGAGCCAGTATCCCGCAGTGAACCTACCGTGTTTCTCAAATGGAATGTCATCTTCCACAAAGGGCTCAAAGTCTTCCCGCTGCTTTATCATGTAGTCCACTGTCTCCTGTCGGTGCTTGAGATGATTCCGGGAGTGTCCCTCCAACTGATCGCCAAGAGCTCGGAACAGACAATTGCTGTCAAACCAAAAATGTTGGGTCAAAACCTTTTAAAAGTGAACTTAGGTCATCTAAAACAATGATGCTTCATGCTAGGCGATCCACAGAAATCTTGCACACAGAGAAAAGAGAAAGCCTCAACTATGGCCGTCTGTGATTCTTCCCAGATACTGAGGGGAGAGCACTAGGGCACATGTGCAACCACATCACCTTCGTAAGAGGCAACAAACAAGGATTCTATTCCCCCCGGACCAGAAAATTCATTAAACTTCCCGGGGTCGCAGCTGCTTCCACAAGTGAGGCTGGAGATACACTAACCGCCCGAACACAGGGTCTTCATTACAGGCTCTGCCTCCCCTAAGGGCTCTGATTCCCAGATCTCTTCCAAAATGATAAATTTTATCTTCTCCCTTTTTTCTAAAGCAAGTTTCACTATAGCTGCCCAGCTAACTAATCATTCACCTAACAAAGAGTATCCAAAAGACAATAATTTGTCAGGCTCCCAGTACAAACAACTGAACTCGGCATCCTGCCTAAGTCCTGAGCACAGAGTGGAGAAGCCATGAGGACAACGCGCGGCTGTGTCCTGCAGTGACACCTCCC